AGAAATTTTTTTTTGAAAAAATGCATAAAGCTTCCTGTAGGAGGGGTGGAAGTGTGAAGATAACATATAATGGATTGGAAATCAGATTACCTTGTACTTCTTAATAGAGACATAGGATGCTACAAGTGAAAGGGACAATGCCTTAAAATGTTCAAATAATTCTATATCCAGCCAAAGTATCAACCAAATGAGTGGTTAAAATAATAACATTATCAGACAGAAAAATACATAAAAATTTACCTCTCATATATTCTTTCTCAGAAAAACACTGATGGAAATGTTCTACCAAAACAAGAGAATAAACATGCAAATAAAAAGGACAAAAGAATGAAGAAAAATGTGATTTGTTGGTTATATATCCCAATAAGTAGGGGCATGAAAAAAATTATTATGTGGTCGGGGATCCAAAAACAGCAGAGCAAGGATGGCTCTTTTCTCCTTCATGATATCTTGGGTCTCAGTTGGGATAATCCAAATGACCAGCAGTAACTCAAATGGCTGGAGGCTGAAATAGCTGGAGCCAGAGAATCTATTTCTGTAATGGGTTCTTTATCCACATATATGACACCTGGGTCACCATGGCTGAAGAGGCTGTCTACTGGAACTGTCTACTGTCTACTGGAACTGTCTGCTGTTTACTGAAACTGTCTACTGGGACTGTCTACTGGAACATTGTGGGACTGTCTACTGGACTGTCTACTGGAACTCTACTGGAACATTGGCATATGTTATACATGTGTTCTTCCAACATGGTGATCTCAGGGTAATTGGACTTCTTACATGGTAGCTTAGGTCTCTCAGAGCAAATGTTCCCAATTAACAAGACAGAGCTTCAGAGCTTTTTATTACCTAGCCTCAGAATTTACATAACATCACTTCTGTCTCCTCTATTGTTTAAAGCTGTCACAAGCCCACCTGATTCAAGAGGACAGGACACAGATACCATTATTGATGGAAAAATTGTCACAGAATTTGCAACCTAATATGGTTTGGCTCTGTGTCCCCGCCCAAATTTCATGTCAAATTGCAATCTTCAATGTTGGAGGAGGGGCCTGGTGGGAGGTGATTAGATCATGGGGGCAGACTTCCTCCTTGCTGCTCTCGTGATAGTGAGTTCTCACAAGATCTGGTTGCTTAAAAGTGTGTAGCACTTTCCCCTTCACTCTCTCCCTTCTTCTCCGTACACATGAATCCTTCACCTTCTGCCATGTTTGTAAGTTTCCTGAGGCCTCCCCAGCCATGCTTCCTGTACAGCCTGTGGAACTGTGAGTCAATTAAACCTCTTTTCTTCATAAATTACCCAGATTCAGGTAGTTCCTTATAGCAATGCGAGAACAGATTAATACACAACTATGTTTTAAAACCACTGCATATGGGATCAGTGATTCAGGGGATCTGACAAAAAAGTGTAAGAGAAAGAAATCCTAGGGAGATAGTCATGTCTATGCTAAACTTTAGAAGAATTAACTTAAATTTTCAATATTGTTATGACTAAACTACAAAATCGAATTGCTCTCTTCCCAAAAGCCTTACACAATGGTACCGGAGTCCAGTTGCCTAACACGTAACACCAAAGTGTTTATTTAATTTCAAACATCTCCTTCGCTTTCCTATTGACATAATTTGAAATCCTTGTTGGGTGAATAATAGATTTTCAAGTCAGAATGGAGAAGCAAATATTTCCTAAACTAACTCTCATTATTCTGTGTGGAAGTATGCTTTAACAATTCATATAAAAACCATGGAAACTAGTGGATTTTCCCTACGCTCTCATTCCAGGTTGCCGAGAGGGCAGGATAGGTGGAGACCAGAATGTAAACTCTGGAAAGTCTCCACAGTCAACTAAAAGTTTGGGTAAAGAAAGGAGAAATATAAGAGCATTTCAGAAGGCAGACTTCCTCTGAGAACAGGAAGCGGAAGGGTTCACAAGTTCAATGCAGAAGGATGTTCAGAACAGGCTCCACTGGAAACATTATCACCTTCATCAGGGATGTATTCTTCATAATGAAAAGCAGCTGTCTGCCCTTGCAAAGGTCGGGGAAGTTTCTGCCCCAGTGGAAGCCAGAATGTACCATGATACACAGAGACGGTCAAAAGTACTTTTTGCCTTTAAACTACAAGGACACCTTTTTTTTTCCTGTGAGTTTCCAGTGGGATAAGGAAGTCTGCTCACCCAAGGCTAGCTGTTGATTTCTTCACGCTAAGGCCTCACTGATGCCAGTACCCATTGTTCTGTTGTGTCACTTCTCTTAAGTAAAAGCGAAGCTGTCTGTAATTAGAAAGGCGATGATGTCATGGAGGAAAGGGCCAAGCAGCAGACTTTGCACAAAGCCCCAGGCTGCAGCTGCAACCTACACTGTAATTTTAAATTTAAGTCCAAATTACAAGCTAGCATAACCCAGCAACAAAGGGGCTTTCTCCTACTAGGGACACACAGTAGCCAGCAGGCAAGCCTCAGGATGTTAAAATTCTACCTTCCCTCAGGGAGAGAAATTTTATTTAAATCTGGGAGAGTGGATGTTTTCAAGCAGTTGCATAAACTTGCCAGGCAAAGCCAGGGAAGGCTTTTGCGTGGCTTGGTGAGTGAATGGAAAGCAGCTCATTCTGAACAAAAATTGGTAAAAGTACACTGACTTCTGGCATCTAGTTTGGCTTCCTACCTAGCGTCATTGAGAGTTAAAACTCAAAGGGCCTGGGAGCAGTGGCTCACACCTGTAATCCCAGCACTTTGTGAGGTGAGACAGGCAGATCACCTGACGTCAGGAGTTTGAGACCAGCCTGGCCAACGTGGCAAAACCCTGTCTCTACTAAAAATACAAAACATTAGCCAGGCATGGTGGCTTACACCTGTAACCCCAGCTACTCCGGCTACTCCGGCTGAGGCAGGAGAATCACTTGAACCTGGGAGGCAGGGGTTGCATTGAGCCGAGATTGCACCACTGCACTCGAGCCTGGGTGACAGAGCGAGACTCTGTCTCAAAAAAATAAAATAAAATAAAATAAATCCCAAAGGAAATCCTAAGATTTAATAGACATGCCCTTTTACTTTCTGACATATGTGCTGTTTGGGGATGGAGAATTTTAAAACTATAGCCTATGTGCCCTTAATCCCCAGCCCTCTGGCCATTCCACCTCTTCAGTGGAGAATCACTCCCAGAGACACACCTCCCAAGCTCCTCATCTGCCAGCCTGTGCCCACCATCCCCAAACTCCCTCCTCTCACCCTATTTCTAAACTTCTCAGGAAAATGGCCCACCATTAACCCAGGTGTCCCTCTAGAGACCTTGAAGTAATGTTACTTTCCTCTTCCCCTTTTCAATGGATTCACCAAATTCTTCCAGAATTATTGCTTGAATGAGCCCCCTTCTCTCCACATTCTTCCTTAGGTCGTATCTTCCGTTCCTTGCATTACTATAATGGCCACATTTCTGGTCAACCAGTCCCCAGGCTGCTTGAGACTCTGGGTTCTTTTCCACATGACACTGATTTCATGATTTGTCATCTAAATCATATACTCAAAAAGTCTAAATTGAGGCTAATGTGTAAAGCAGGCCACATGATAATTGGCACAGAGCCCACCCTCAATAAATGTTACTATATGGATTATGGATATTTTTCTCCTTGACGCTCACAACCCAATGAGAGAGACAGTACAATAGCCCATGGTATTGTTTTTCCCATTTAATGGATTTTTAAACAAATTCATAAATATACGCTGAGCATCTTCAATGTGTCAGGTCCAGTGGTAGGGGTGGCATATAGAGAAGAAGCGACAGATACAAGGCCTGCACGGCCTTGTCTAGTGGATAAAGCAGACATTTGCACGTAGTTAAGCAATTGAGAGCAGCGTGTGATAGGAGAAAGACAGGGCGCTGCAGACTAGTGGGACACACAGGACATTTGCCTTTCAAATCAAACTCCCTTGCATTGTTATAAGAAAAACACAATAGAGACAAAGTAGCTTAGAGGCCTGGCTGCGAAATCTGAATCCCGGTTTTGATTCCTGCCCTCAATACTCGCTAGCTCTGGGTGCCGGGAAGTCACTTAACCTACCTGTTCCACAGTTTCCTCATCTGTAACAACAACAAAAATACTGATGGTGAGGATGAAGTGAAATAATAAGTGGGAAACATCTTGCAAGAAGTAAGCATTTGATAAATGTCAGATGATATTATTGTTTATATTGTCATTATAACATTAAGAGCTCTTCTCACAGAGCAAAGGCTGTAGTTAGAATACTCTCTACAAGGAATATATGTGGCTCATTAGGCCTCCAGGAACCTGGTGCATAAATCTTAAAATCTTACTACTAAATACGGCTAGGAAACACTTTCAGTTGTACATGAATAATATCAGATTTCTGTGATTCATTAATTGAATATTTATTTTCTCTCTACAATGTGCCATTCACTGTGCCAAGTCTTACTCAATGTTAATTTCCCTGTAATAACAGCACAGTTCCTAGCACATATCAGAGATAAAAAGACATGTTTAAAAATTTTAAATAGCTGATGTTTCGCTCTCTGAAACCAAACAAAATTAAACACAAATGTCATAAACTCTAGAGAAGTTTAAAAAAATACAGTTCATACTTCTCAGAGATTCCTACAATCCCACCTAAATGTTTCCAAGGCCCTAAAAGGAATTTTCCAGAACATGCTGGGTAACACATTTTTCCCAGCGTAAGTAGCCTTCTTAGATCTGGATTTTAAAATAAACTAGATCCCAATATCACTAAAACCTTTATTTTCCTGTTTTCACAATCTTTGGATTCAAAGCTTATTTTTATTTCATGACATTTGTAGTAGCTGAGATATATATCACAAACAGTATTTTAGCCTTAAGAGTACTAAAAGGAATTTTGTTAAGTAATTCGTAGATAAAACGATGAGCTAAGTTATCTTGCTAGCTAAATGATTAACACATCAAAACAGCTAGTTTCCCAGAGCTAAAAGAAACGGTTTGGATTTGTGTTGGTAGCTGTTTGCAATTCAAATTAGTTTGTCAAGTGGTTTCAGATTCTTCAATCAGGGTCCTGAAGTTAACCTGGGGACACTGAGTGAAGGCTGTAATTGCAAAGATGTTTTCACATGGGTGAATTGGAAGCACTATCGATGAAAAGCAAACGACGGAATAGGGCCCTGGATTGCTGTGGCTGAATGGAAGGGAAAATGAAACAGTGAGTCGGTTGTCATTTTCTCGCAAGCAAGGCAAAGTCACTGAAGGGATCAGAGAAAGGTTTAAATGTGGAACGATCAGTCTTAGATGTGATCTGGACTTCAATTGAGTGGAATTTCTTGAATCCTTGATGTGGATGAGGAATGCGGAGGGGCCCAAGCGAAAGCAGATTTACTGGAAAGGAGAACTGGAAATTTCAAGGGGTTTGTTTTTGTCATTGTCAACCCTTTTAGCAAATAACATTGATGATTAGGGTGGGTGTTATTCTTGTTGTTGTTTAAGAAAGTACGAGAATTTGTAAAATGCAGAGAAGCAAAAGTTAGAAAACTAAAATTGCTTGCCACCAGAGATCAACTACAGCATTTAGGCCTTTTTCTTCCTTACCTTCTTTCCTTTCTTCCTTCCCTCCCTCCTTCCTCCCCTCTTTCCTTCCTTCTTTCGCATCCATTTATCCATCATCTACCTAGCTCTTTTTATATAGCTATTTCTTTATTATTATATAGTTATATATCTTTGTCATTTGTTATATGAAGTTTGCATTGTCACTGCTTTTAAAATGTTTTGACCTGTAATCTTTAACTTGCATCCTTTAACCCAGGGGGTTTTCTGGCTTTGTTAGGCAGGGTGGCTCATGGGAATTCATGGCCTCTTATTCTGTTAAAAAATTCCTTGCAATCAAGAATATGATGTTTTTTCTTGGTTTAAAACAAACAGAAAATCACACAGAAGTAGAGTTTGCACTAAATATATATTTTTAAATTTCTGCCTGCAAAATTACGTTCCACTGCCTCCTCTTTGCTCAGTTTCCCCCTTATATCTCTCCAGATGTAGCCTCTGGAGCTTCCTTGAGTCTCTGAGAGATTATTTCATAGGACAGGATCAGAAATGACTTGCCAAGATCCCTGCAGAAGTATCTAGAAGGATGGATAATTTATAATTAGAACAATAAGTAATGGTGGTTAACATCTTGCAAGGTGTTATATATTTAATTTTTTTTTTTTTTTAACAAAGTCTCTTTTTACATTCATGAACTCAACCAGGAGTGGTAGAAAGATAGTTTGGATCATGAGTCAAGGTGCCTTCAGTTCTAGTCCTAGTTTTTTCTCAACTATTACCTTCTATAAGCACTTAAATTCTCTGTGCCTCCATTTTCCTATACATAGAAGGAAGTGGGAGGGTTTGATGGTTAGCAGACCAGATGCTTGCTGAGATCATTTCCAGGTCAGCAACTGCATTGTATTATGAAAGTTTTGGTGGCCCCATATTGGATGGGCATTGAGGCATTATTTCCATTAACTACCAGTAAACAGTAGATTTGCCATGGGTGCACACTTAGATGAAACCTGAGGATATACTAATTTGGTGAGGTTGGGGGTGGGGGGCAGGGGAATCCAAGGTCTGATTTCCCCCAAGCAAAGTCTGCTAATGTTTTTCCTCTATGCTGCTTCTAGTTTTTTGGATAAGCTAAGTGAGTATGGGTGTGTGCATATAGATATGCAGGATAATTTATCACACACATACTTCATGGGGGAACTGGCACCAGTTGGTACTTCCTGACCAGCTCCAGTCAGTGCTTTCAGAGAAGAAAATAACTTGTGCAGATGCCTTTACGTGTATTATTCCACTTAATTCTCACAGCACCCCATCAGGGTAGATCCCCCGTTTTGTAGATGTACAAACTAGGGTTCAGAGTGATTTAGTAACTTGTTCAAAATGTGAACACGAATCTATAGGACTCTAGGGCCAAAGTACATTTCAAAGGACTCCGCTTTGACTCACTCTACTGAGGCAGAGGGAAAATAAGAAAACAAGGGCAAGAGGAGCAGGTGAAGAAGTGGATTAAAGGAGTTTCCTCTGCATGGTGCTGTCGCAGAACTACTCTTACAGATAGTGCAGCACAGGTGTGGGTCAACAAGTTCCTTTCCTATGCTCCTTTGCCATGTTCTTTTGCCTTTCTTTTGGGGTTATCAGGTTTCCCAGGGCTCCCAGGCTTTCCTATCACTCCCACAAGCACCCCATCCTGATGAGCCATTACCAATATTTCATGTTCTAGAATCATCTTGTCTTCTGTCTCCTGCAATAGAAACTTCCTTTTCTCTATACGATTGTTTCAGCTAAGTGGAAAGCAATCTGATTGAGTGGATCTATATTAGAATGTGAATGCCTAAAATGTTCTCATTATTAAGAAGGATGTTGATATATGAAAATCTGACAAACGCCATTATAAACAGAAATTGAGTGAAGAAAACAAAAATTCGGGCTTTTGGGAGAAGGTGAGATATTTGGGGACTGAGAAATGTCAGGAGCCAGTCAGTAGGAAGTGGAGTGGATGTTCCAGCTACAATTCCATGGCATTAGGGGGATCTGAAAAGGAAGCTCAAAGGTCCCTAATAAGAAAGGAGCTCCTGTGTAGGAGAGCATCTGCGTATTAAAAATAAGGCTGATCCCAAGCTGAAACAAAAAACAAGCAAATTGTGATATTGTGGTATCTATTTGGTCTTTGACCCTGTTTCCTGGCATACAAATCCTAAATTACTTAGAAATTCTAAAACGTTGTCTTTTTGTACCCTAATGAGTTGACTGATAGCAGGCAGCCCCTAGGCAGCTTCAGGATGGGGGTTTGTCACCCAGAAAGACTAACTTTTAGCACCACTCCCAATCTCCAGGGAAGGGAGAGGAGATGTTGAGTGTATCACCAATGGCCAATGGTTTGATCAATCATGCCTAAGTAATAAAGCTTCTAGAAAAACCCAAAAAAGACAGGATTCAGAGAGCTTCCAGATAGCTGACCATGTAGAGGTTCCTGGAGGGTGGTGCCCAGGGAGGATATCAAAGCTCTGCACCCCTTCCCTCATACCATGCCCTAGACATCTCTTCATCTGTATCCTTTGTAATGTCTTTTATAATACATGAGTAAACGTAAGTGTTTTTCTGAGTTCTGTGAGCAACTCCAGCAAATTAATTGAACCCAAGAAAGGGGGATTGTGGGCAACCTGATTATAGTCAGTCGGTCAGAAGCACAGGAAAAATAACCTGCAGCTTTTAATTGGTATCGTAAGTGGGGGTGGGGGCAGTCTTGGGGACTGAGTCCTCAACCTGTGGGATCTGACACGCTCTGGGTAGAGAGTGTCAGAACTGAATTAGAGGACATGCAGCTGGTATCTGCTCCTTGATGTGTACAGGAACGCCTCCCCACCCCCACCCCCCCCCGCACCCACTCCCCCACACATATTTGATCACAGAAGTTTTCTGCATTGTTGTTGAGTGAGGAAAAGTAAAAGTGCTTGGAGTGTGTGTGTGTGTGTGTGTGTGTGTGTGTGTGTGTGTGTGTTTTCGTTTTCCCCACGTTCAGACAAACGAAAGGTGGAGCAGTGGTGAGAGAGAGCAGGCAGTCCACTGAATTTGGGCCCACAAAGGCCCCCTGCAAGAGCTGCTGGTGTTTGCTCCCAAATTGCAGAGTACATGAAGACAATGTGTTTCCTGCTTTCCAGGGCATAGGTTAGTACTCATGGCCCTGGGCCTGGGCATTCAGCCACATCTGTTGGCCCTGCCGCGTACTCAGGGGTGGGAGGGTAAAGCAACTTCTGGGAATGGCTTCCTGTTCCCTACTCCAGGAGCTAAGTCCAAGAAAAGAAAAAGAAACTAATTTCACCTTTTCCTCTAAACGTCATTGTTATTGACACAGCCAGTCTGCAGTGATCAATTAAGCAAATCTGAAGACTCAAATGCTTTTATGCTTCTTATTTAAAAGTTGCTTAGAATTTATTCCTTAATTCCAGATAAGTTACCAAAAGAGAACATTTAAGCAACTTATCCAAGATCACTGGACAACGGTGTGGGTCCAACCCCTACATACGTAGCACATACAACTGGCCTGATTGGAGGGACCGTCCAAGAATCATCCTCCTCCATATTCTCACACAACTCTCTGCCCCTTTCCAAGTGCCTACACTTTCCAGAATTGAGAGTCATTCCTCAGTGTCTTGAGAGTCCCCTTATTCAAGTCCAAATCCTAGGGCAGGAATTGCACTTGATCTTTTATCAACAGTTTACCTAGTGGAACATTCTGCCTCATACCTCTTTCTGATACAAATGTCTGGAAGCCGGGCCTTCCGGGGATAAGGCAGGAATGGGATGCTTCACCCTATTGTGGGAGAAAAGAAGACTGGAGGTAGGAATTTTCCAAAAACAAACCTTGTTAGGGGCCTGTGCTGCTTCCAGCTGGATAGCTATCCCACGTTGCAGCTTTATTAATTAATCTTCCTCTTGGGAGTGTGTTTTAAGTACCAAGCAATAAAATAGTCTGGGAATTGACATGTTTAACTAAATTGAGGTTTATTTCAACTTATTTACTATCTTCACTGATTCTTTTACCTCTCTCTGGTCCCCAAACATAAGCAGCCCCAAAGACTGGCCCTGGCTCCTTTTTTCTATACACTATTAATTTGGATCACTCTCACTCTTTCAGGTTTAAGAATCACAATTGGGAGGCCGTACCTCCAAAGTTTGTCTCTAATCCAGGGGCCAACAAACTCTCTCTGTAAAAGACCAGAGAGTAAATTTGTCAGGCTTTGCAGGCCATGCAGTCTATTGCAACCACTCAACTCTCCTATTGCAGCATGAAATCAGCCAAAGACCATACGTCAATGAATGGACATGGCTGTGTTCCAATAAACTTTATGAACACTGAAATTCCAATTTCATGTAATTTTCACTTGTCACAATATATTATTCTTTGGATTTTTTTCCCCAACCACTTGACAATGTGAAAACTATTCTCTAGCTCATGGACCTTAGTAAAGCAGGCAGTCAACCTCTGTTCTGACCGATACCGTTCTCCAAGTTCCAGGCATCCTGCTGTCAAAAACACCCTCAGACTTGAAGTTTCTAATATGAAAATTGCTCTGTCTTTTATCCACCCCACGAAACAGCTGTTCTTCTTGACTTCTTTGTCTTAGGAGACCAGAATTCTCCCAGAGTCCCAGCTGGAACTCCAAGGGTTTCCTTGGTTTCCATTTGTCATCCCTTGTGCAAAACCAGTACCCCAATGCAATGCATCCAGCATCTGTCTCTCTCTCTCCTGTCCTCAAAGTTCTGCATATATCCAAATTAATTTTCCTAAAGCAAGATTTGTATTAAAGAACACCCTTCAAGGCCTCTACTGTTTCCTGCACACAGTAACCCAGCCTGCAGCACCCTGCATTTATATATATGCAGTTTTGCCTCTGAGGGAGTTTTCTAGTTTCATTCTCCACTATTTTCTGACACACATTTTCTGTGCAAACCAAAATGACTTGCCTTCAACAGGTGAAATTAACATGCTGGGAGCAGGCAGGGAGTTCCTACCTCTATGCCTTTGTTCTTGATCTTTTCCTCCATTAAATCCTTTTCCTGCACCCCTGGACCTATCAAAAAGTTCATGACCAACCATACTGAGATACCACTTTACTTATACTAGGGTGACTGTCATAAAAAGACTGACAACAACAAGTGTTGACAAGAATGTGGAAAATTGGAACCCTCCTATGCTGTTAGTTGAAATGTAAAATAATACAACTGCTTTGGAAAAACAATCTGGCAGTTCCTCAAAATGTTAAACATAGAGTTACCATGTGACTCAACAATTCCACTCCTAGATACACACTAGCAAAATGAAAACATATGTCCACACAAAAACCTGTACACAAATATTAATAGCATTATTCACAATAGCCAAAAAGTAAAAACATCCCAAATGTCTGACAACTGATGAATGGATAAACAAAACGTGGTCTATTTATACAATGAGATAATATTAGGGCAAAAAACAGAGCTGGGCACGGTGGCTCACACCTGTAATCCCAGCACTTTGGGAGGCCGAGCTGGGTTGATCACGAGGTCAGGAGATCAACACCATCCTGGCTAACACGGTGAAACCCCATCTCTACTAAAAATACAAAAAATTAGCTGTGCGTGGTGGCATGCACCTGTAATCCTAGCTACTCAGGAGGCTGAGGCAGGAGAATTGCTTGAACCCGGGAGGCGGAGGTTGCAGTGAGCCAAATTCATGCTGCTGCACTCTAGCCTGGGCAACAGAGCGAGACTCCATCTCAAAGAAAAAATAAAGAAAAATGGAATGAAGGTTTGATACATCCTATAATATGGATGGACCTTGAAAACATGCTAAGGAAAAGATGTCAGACACAAATCCCCACATGTCATATGATCCTATTACTATGAAATGCCCAGAACAGGAAAATCTATAGAACTTGAAAGTAGATTTGTGATGGGCTGGGGTGGGAGTGAAGGGTCAAGAGAAAATAGGAGTGACTGCTAATGAGTAGAAGGTTTCTTTTAAGGTTGATGAACTATTTGAAAATTGATAGTGGTGATGGTTGCACAACCCTCTGAATACACTAAAAATTATTGAATTGCAACTTTAAGTGAATTGTATGGCATATGTATTAAAGCTCAATATATATTTTTAAAAGGCTTGTGGCCAAATCATTGTAATTTGACCTTTAAAAATATTATCTTTATTTTATAACTACATTATCTGTTTTACTCACTTGACATTATATTTTACTCTGTAATATTTTTCTGCCTATATTTTAATTTTCCAACTACATTGTAAACTCATACTTTTGTTGTTGTTGTTGTTTTGAGATGGAGTCTCGCTCTGTCACCCAGGCTGGAGTGCAGTGGCGCGATCTGGGCTCACTGCAAGCTCCGCCTCCCGGGTTCATGCCATTCTCCTGCCTCAGCCTTCCGAGTAGCTGGGACTACAGGCACCCGCCACCACGCCCAGCTAATTTTTTTTTTTTTTGTATTTTTAGTAGAGACGGGGTTTCACCGTGTTCGCCAGGATGGTCTCAATCTCCTGACCTCATGATCCGCCCGCCTTGGCCTCCCAAAGTGCTGGGATTACAGGCGTGAGCCACCGTGCCCGGCCAACTCATACTTTCATATATGTGTGTGTGTGTATAAATATGCTTGTGTTTGTTGATTTAATTCAGGAGACAATTCTGAGTAGTCAAAATAAAGTACAATAATTTAAATTACTAGAGCTGAAGACTATAGGATGTCAACTGTGAATATATCAAGCAACTCACAAGCTACCATATTGATGTGACATGATGAAGTGGGAAGGAAAGCCATCTGGAGTTTCACTGGTGAATTGATACATCTTGCACTTACCATTGTGTATCCCCCGGACTTTGATCAAATGGACATGGGCCTTCTGATCTGCAGAGTGCCTGGAAATTAAGGTATTTAGTTATGCTTATTTTGCAGCTTCCCCATGTATAAACCCAAAATATAATGGAGTCATGTATATTTTTTAAATTTATTTTTTAAATTTTAAATTTAAATTTACTTGAACAACTATTGATGAAGAACCTACTGTGTGCATGGCATTGGACTCAAAGATGATCTGAGTAAATTCAATAAGCAATAAATGACCATGCTAGTGTGGCTGTCAGCTTGCTGCATACTAAGCATGTGGTACTCTACATTCCATTTGCTAAGAGTTTTTCTAAATGCTTATATTTGGCACATGGGTTCTTGAAAAATATCAAAAAATACACTTCAAACTGTATATCATCGGTCTATATTCAACCCATATTGATTAGGTCAGCAAGAAATTAAGTATATGGAAACCAATACAATCCTGTTTGTGTTTAGCATTTTCTCTGGAGAGCATCCATGATCCATCCATGAATTATATCCAAGTAAATGTTGTCAACACAAGGGTTAAAGTACATTAATAGTAATCTAGGGCCCCAAAAGACTTTCTACCCAGGAATACTATTCAGAGTAAAGTGGCAGCAATATATTAAATTACTCTAAGGCTTGACTTTGGGGGAGCGCAGTCAAACACCATTTGTCGCCCAAGTGTCTCTATTTGAATTACCTAATTCTCAGCAGGTGAAAATAAAAAGTCAAAACTATAGGCAAAGCAGGACCCTTGAAAGGCCAGTTTTCCACAGATTGCTTTATACCCTCATTTTCAAGGTTACTCAGCCCACAGTTAAAAGGCTCACCAAAGCTCACCAAAAGCCACAGTGTCCACCTACAAACATGGGACCATGGTTGTAGTTAGTAAAAACATCATTGATTTGCTTGGAGTGTCCTCTCTTTGTATCTCCTCTGGGAACTCATAATAGTTGTGACCAAGGATTCAGAAATTGGAATCCTAGCCAATTGCACTGGCTTTGACTTAGAGACTCAGTTTCCTCTTTTTGCCATAACAAATTACCACATACTTAGTGGCTTACAACAGAATACATTTGTTATCTTACGGTTCTGGAGGTCAAACCTGAAATGGCTTTCACTAGGCTAAAATAAAAGTGTCAGCAGGTCTGGTTCCTTCTGGAGGCTCTAGGAGATAATCCATTTCCTTGCCCTTTTCAGTTTCTAAAGGCTGCTGGCATTCCTTGGTTTGTGGCCCCTTCCTCCATCTGCAAAGCATAACATCTTTCAATCCCCACTTTTTATAAGGATCCTTGTGGTACATCAGGCCCACCGCCAAGGTAATCCAGGATAATGTTCCCATCTCAAGAACCTTAACCACATCTGTGAAGTCCAATTTCTCAGGTAAAGCAACATATTCACAGGTTTCAGAGATTAAGATATGGTCATTTTGGGGGGCCTTTATTCTACCACAGAGACACAACAAAGAGGAAGACTCCTTGACTAGTGATCATCACCATCATCATCATCATCATCATCATCATCATCATCATCATGGAATCAAAGGAGATCATTTTGGAGCTTTAGGATTTGACTGCCCTGGCCATGTGCAGTGGCTCACACCTGTAATCCCAGTACTTTTGGAGGCCAAGGTGGGTGGATCACCTGAGGTCAGGAGTTTGAGACTAACCTGACCAACATGGAGAAACCCTGTCTCTACTAAAAAAAAATTAGAACATTGGCTGGGCTTGGTGGTGCATGCCTGTAATCCCAGCTATTCGGGAGGAAAATTACAGTCAAACGGGGTTGTCCTCTGGTGGGCAGGAGTGGAGGTCAAAAGGTGCTCAGTGGGGGAGCTTTTTGAGCCAAGATGAGCCAGGAAAAGGACTTTCACAAGGTAATGTCATCACTCAAGTCAGGGACCGGCCATTTTCACTTCTTTTGTGGTGGAATGTCATCAGTTAAGGCAGGGCAGGGCATTTGCACTTCTTTTGTGATTCTTCAGTTACTTCAGGCCATCTGGGCGGGCGGACGTGCAAGTCACAGGGGATGCAATGGCTTGGCTTGGGCTCAGAGGCCTGACACTGTTCTCATGATAGTGAGTTCTCAGGAGATCTGATGGTTTTATAAATGGCAGTTTCCCCTAAACTTTTCTCTCTCTTCTGCTGCCTTGTGAAGAGGTACTTGCTTCTCCTTCACCTTCCATCATGATTGTAAGTTTCCTGAGGCCTCCTCAGTCATGTGTAACTGTGAGTCAATTAAACCTCTTTCCTTTATAAATTAGTCAGTCTCAGCTACTTCTTTATAGCAGTGTGAGAATGGAGTAATAAACCATCCATGACAATATTCTTTGATTTTTACCTGGTTCACTAATTTTAACTTAGTTATAATTTTAAATAATTATAAGTAAAGATACTTCCTGATTTCCAGGGGATAAACTGGGGCACAGAATGGTTATTCGGTCCAGAAAGAGGAAGAAAAATAACCCAGGGGGATGCCAGTCTGAGGCAGCCACTTCCAGAGACTGTAGGCCAGCTCTGAGAAATGTCCAGATTAGATAGACTATATCTGGAAAGATAATCTTGTCCCATGACTGCAACAGACCACTTGAATTTACATGCCAGGTTTATTCAGAATTTATGCCTAGAAATCCCCAGAATACACTAGAAAATCCCAAACTGTCCTGAGACTGAGCACCTAAAGTTGCTGGGTCAAGAAAATATTTTTTTAAATGAAAGAGACTTGAGCATATCTCTGTATTAAGGGGTAGAGGCAGAAGAGGGAAAGCAATTAAAGATAGAGGAGAAACAATAGTCACAAACTAGAAACAGCTCGACCATCATGAAAATGCTTAAACAAAAACTGGTGCATCCATACAATGCAATACAACTCAATAATGAAAAGGCACAATCAACTGCCACTACCCACAAAATGGATGACTTGTAAAATCATTATGCTGAGTAAAAAAGCCAGACATAAAAGAGTACGTACTACATAAGTACGCTTACATGAAATTCTAGAAAATGTGAACTAACTTATAGTGACAGAAAGGAGATCAGTGGTTGCCTAAGGTTAGAAGCAGAGAGAAAGGAATGAACAGCAAAGAGGCACAAGGAAACTTTTGGAGGTGATGGAAATATTGTATCTTGATCATGGCAGTGGTTTCACGGATGTCAAAACTCAGCAAATTGTATACTATAAATGGATACCATTTACTGTACATAAATTATACTACAATAAAACTGATTTACAAAAAGAGGGAAGCTTCTTGGGGGCCCAAGGACTGGATGAGGAACCCCTTTTCCACTGGGAAAGAAGGAAAGTACAATCACCTGATGGGTTCTTCTGGCCTACTGCACAGATAAACCCAATTCACTGAGAGAGTGGTATTGCAGTAGAGAAAGACTTTAATAATCACAGGGCCAGCTAAGTGGAAGAACAAGAGTTTAGTACTCAAATCAGCTTCCCCAAAAGCTTGGAGGGTAGGGTTTTTCAAGGATAGTTTGGCAGGCAGGGGGCTAAGGATTGGGCATGCAGATTGGTTAGGAAAGAGATTGTAGGGGTGTGGAAAACAATCCTTATCTGCTGACTCAGCCTCTGGGTGGGGGCCACAGGACTGATTGAGTCATGAGTCATGGGTTGGGGTAGAGTCAGTTGGTTGTCAGAATACAAAAATCTGAAAACCATCTCAAAAGACCAATCTTAGATTCTACAACAGTGATGTTATCTACAGGAGCAATTGGGGAAGTCACAAATCTTGTAATTTCTGCCACATGACTCCTGAGTAGTAAGGGATTACAGAAAAGCAAGCTAGGAGGCTGGGCATGGTGGCTTGCATCTGTAATTCCAACACTTTGGGAGGCTGAGGTGTGAGAATCTCTTGAGCTCAGCAGTTCAAGGCCAGCCTGAGCAATATAGTGAGACCCTGTCTCTTTAAAAAATAAAAATAAAATAGCAAGTTAGGGAACAATGGCTGGTTATCGTTTATACCTATATCTCAGCAGAATTCAGGCCTCTCCCATAATCCTAATCTTGTGGCCCTGTATTAGTTTTACAAAAGTAGTTTTAGTCCCTGAACAAGGAGGGGGTCTGGGAGGGACTATTATCATCCTTGCTTCAAAGTTAAACTGTAAACTAAATTCCTCCCACGGTTAGCTTGGCCTATGCCCAGGAATGAGCAAGAATAGCCAGATTGTGAGGCTAGAAGCAAGATGGAATCAGCCATGCTAGACATCTCTCACTGTCATGATGTTTGCAAAGGCGGTTTCAGAAGGAGGCCAAAGCAGAAATGGTCACAGATCCATTCCTAGATGAGAAGAGGCTTCAGAGAGAAGACAGTGGTTAGCCACGATACTCTTAATGTTTTCTTAGGATGTAATGGCCCAAGGGGTTCTTTCCTGCCCCTGCACAAAGAAAGACCATGGTATTGTAGCAAAGAGTTTAATAGACAGGCTGGCCATACCACATGGGAGATGGAGTCAGTACTCCAATCATTCTCCAAAGCTCACAAGTTAGGGGTTCCTCAAAGGCAACTTTGGGGGAAGGGGTGGGGGTGGCTAGGCTTGCAGCTGGTTGGTTGGAGCAGAGATGAAATCATAGCCAGTTGCAGCTGTTCTCCTGTGTGCTGAATCGCTTCTGGGTGGGACCACAGGAGCAGGGTTGGAGGGTCCAGGTGGAGCCATGGGTGTCAGACATACAAAAAGCCTGAAAAGATATCTCAAAAGGCCAATCTTAAGTTCTACAATAGTGATGTTATTTGCAGGAGTAATTGGGGAAATTGCATATCTTATAACCTCTGGAATAATGGCTGTCTATGGTTCATGTTTGCATCTTAGCAGAACTCAGGCTCCTCTCCTCCCTGCAGCCTGATGGCCTTCCATTAGCGTTACAAAAGCGATTCAGTTTTATGGGAGGCTTTTCATCATTTAAACTATAGCCTAAATGTCTCTCAAAATCAGCTTGGTCCAAAAGCCCAGGAGTAATTAAGAGAAAGGCAAAATGTGGGGTGGGTTAGCTCAGCTCACTGTTAAAACTTTTCTCACTGATATAATTTTCGCAAAGGCAATTTCAAGAAGCTCCCTGCATTACTGCCCACAGCAACGAGTCTCCTTTTAACATGCAGATTCACATCGATCATAATGAGCTCAACTTGCATCTGAAGACTGGAGACTCTCACACATCTTAACCCACAATGTGTGCTATCCAGACAGAATATTTGCAAGGTCTAAACTTCTTTTAAATCAAAATTCAGCCCACCTTCAGCTTGGTATTCCTGCCACACACAACCCCTGACAGCTTCAGCAGAGAACTGGCTGATGTGTTCTGAGTGTTATTTTCTTTGATTCCTTCTGAGTGGCATTTTCTTTCATTTCTTCCTGTGTCTCTTTAATTACTGGGAGCTCCAGAAGCAATAAGAAGCTGGGAGGAAAGATTTTGTCAGAAAGCTTCAGGCTGAGAGGAGAACCTGAAAGATAGGGATCTGCCAGCACCTCTGTGGTTATCGACTCTTTCATGTAACCACTTACCAGAGTATATCAGACGGTATTTTGCAGTAACGAAGACAGAGCCATAGCAACCAGACTACAAAGAGAAGCCCAGGCTTCTGGAAATGGCTCCAAGTCTCTGAAGAGATGTTAGCATTTCACAGCTTCCATTTCTTTTTGTGTTTGTTTCCTTTTGGTAGCCACTGGAGATAAGCCGTGTTTTCTTTACACACCCCAAAACTAGGGAAATTTTTATTTACCACAGCTGGGTACATGGGCCTAAGACTGGAATTCTTCAGTTAACAGTCATGTTAAATGGAAATTCATTTTCTCAGTCATGAAAACTATTCTCAGAACATATTTTCTGAGCTGCTGTCTAATATCTGGGGCTTTTTCACACTAATAATAATCTTTTTCTCCTTCCTGAAAAACTGGAAGTTATAATTAAGTAGAGGAAGCAAAAAAACCCTTCCCTTGACACTGTGCTAGTTTTGTGGAAGTCCTTCATCAGGAATGAGTCACTCATGTAAATTGAAAGCTGCTCTGGGTCCCCACCTTTGAGTTAGAGTCCCCGCAACTTCTCCACTATAGCTATTTGGGTTTTTACAAAAGAATAATGATGTGAGACCCCAAAAGAGGACAAAATATGTGACTATGTTTGTGAAGGTAAGCATGACACTGCATTGTCCATTGGGGGCCACCCCTCTGGTGAAATAGGTGCCTACTGTCCCTTATCACCCACCAAAACATGTATCCACCCTATGTTTAAAATTGTGTAGGCTACCAAAAGAATTGAAAGTAGGGACAGAAACAAATACTTGTACATGCGTGTGCATAGTAGCACCATTCGCCATAGCCAAGAGGTAGAAACAACCCAAATATTCATCAGTGGATGAATGGATAAACAAAATATGGTCTATCCATACAATGGAAAATTATTCAGCCATAAAAAGTAAAGCAGTACTGATAACACTATATAATTAAAGCCGACTGATAGACAGGTGTATTCAATTCATTCTGTTAATATTAAGCCTTCTGTTCTCAACTAGAGGGGGAGAGATAGGCAAACAGACTGCTCACTGCTGTGATAAGGACAGGAGCAGGGGTGGGAAAGTGGGAGTTGGG